CCAATAAGACAAGATGCAAACATAAAGGGAGCCAAATAAGGAAAGCTGAAGTAAAACTCTCTCTCTCTTTGCGGATGACATGATCATCTATTTAAAGAACCCGATGGACTCCACTCCTTAGGTACTCGAGCTGATTTAAAACTTTGGCAAAGTAGCAGGGTATAAAATTAACCCTCAAAAACCAATGGCTTTTCTGTATGCCAACAATGAGAAGAACTCAGCTGAAATCAGGAAAGCAACTCTTTCTGTAATAGCCCCACAAAAAAGAAAATACCTAAAAGTTAATTTAACTAAAGAAGTGAAGGGCCTCTACGATGAAAACTTTAAAAACTTGAAAAAGGAAATTAAAGCAGAACCAAGGAAGTAGAAAAACCTCCCACGCTCCTGGATTCGGAGGATTAACATTGTGAAAATGGCAGTACTGCCAAAGCCTATCTACAAATTCAGTGTGATACCTATTAATATCCCAACCTCATTCTTCAATGAAATAGAAGAAGCAACCCAAAAATTCATATGGAACAATAAAAGACCCCGAATAGCAAACACAACCCTTAGCAGAAAGAACAGTGTTGGAGGAATATCAATACCAAATTTCAAATTCCACTATAAAGCCATAGTAATCAAAACAGCTTGGTACTGGCACAAGCAGAGATCTGAGGACCAAAGATATAGAACTGAAGACCCAGAAATGAACCCACAGACCTATAGCCACTTAATCTTCAATAAGGGAGCTAAAAAAATAGAATGGAAGGAAGACAGTCTCTTCAGTAAATGGTACTGGCAAAATTTGTTAAATACCTGTAGAAAACTAAAGCTAGATCCTTATATATCACCCAGGACCAGAACCTACTCCAAATGGATCAAAGACCTCGGAGTCAAAGCAGACACCCTGAAAACATTACAGGATGGAATAGAAGAAACCCTAGGTCTCCTTGGCGCAGGCCAAAATTTTCTTAATAGAGACACAGAAACACAAGAAATCAAAGAAAGGTTGGACAAATGGGATTGCATAAAATTGCAGAGTTTCTGCATGGCAAAGGGCATAGCTAGCAAGATCAATAGAAAGCCCATGGATTGGGAGAAGATCTTTACTAGCCATATAACAGACAAGGGTCTCATATCTAAAATATACTTAGAACTCAAAAAATTAAATTCCCTAACAACAAATCTTCAAAGAAACAACCACCTGATTAATAAGTGGGTTAAAGACTTAAAGAGAAAGTTCTCTGAATAGGAAATAAGAATGGTCAATAGACACATGAAGAAATGCTCCACATCTCTAGCCATAAAGAAATGCAAATCAAAATAAGATTGAGATACCACCTCACCCCAGTTAGAATGGCTACAAAAAATCTAATAACAACAGATGCTGGAGGGAATGGGGCCAAAAGGGTACCTTACTGCATTGTTGGTGGGAGTGTATACTTGTTCAACCACTCTAGAAAGTAGTATGGAGGTTCTCAAAAGACTATACACATAGAGCTCCCCTATGACCCAGCAATCCCACTTCTGGGCATTACCCAAATGATCACAAACAAGACCATACTAAAGCTACCAGCACAACTATGTTTATTGCAGCATTATTCACCATAGCTAAGATATGGAACCAACCCAGATGCCCCTCAGTAGATGAATGGATCAAGAAAATGTGGTATATATACACAATGGAATTCTATGCCTCCATCAGAAAGAATGACATTGCCTCATTTGTTAGGAAATGGAAAGACTTGGAAAAAATTATATTAAGTGAAGCAACCCAGACCCAAAGAAACATAGGTCTCATAGTTTCCCTTAGTTGTAATAATTAGCATATGGCTAGGAAAATCTTACCAGACAATCAGAAAAGGCGAAAATCTATGTACATATGACCATATAAGATGATGCTAAGTGAAATGAACCCCAAGATAGGGACACAAGAGGTTTTTTCTTTGTTGCTGTCGTTTTTAATGTAGTATGTGATTTTTTTGTTTCTTTTTTATGTTTTTTCCCCCTATGGTATAACCTCTGTTGTCACTATATTTGATTCTGGCACCCTGCATGTACATTTTTCTAATTTGGGGAGGGTAAGGGAAATAATCAAAGGCTGAAACAAGGATACAGGTTGACCCATTGTAACAATGAGATGTACAAGACACTGTGTTGAAAATGAACTTTACAACTTCGGGGCGGGGATGGGGGCAGGTAGGAGTTGGGGAAGTGAGGAGGGAAAGGATGGTAGGAGAAAAACAAAGGTGGGTAACAATGCTGGATAGGAAATGTACTCATTGGAAGTGGCGCTGTAGCTCAAGTGGTAGAGTGCTCGCCTTGAGCTGAAGAGCTGAGGGACAGCGCCCAGGCCCAGAGTTCAAGTCCCACGACCGACAAAAAAAAAAAAAAAAGATGGTGCCTGGAAATGTACTCATTACCTTACTCATGTAACCGTAACCCCTTTGTACAGTATCTTTACAATAAAATATATATTAAATAAATGTTTAGAACAATTTGATAACCATATGCAAAATATTGTAGTTGGACTCATTCCTTGCATCACACACACACACATTAACTTAAAATGGATCATACTATGACCTAAATGAAAGGGCTGAATCTCTAAAGCACTTAGAAGAAATAGGAATACGTCTGTTTTGAACTTGGCTTGATCAAATCGTTCCTAGATATTTCACCAAAAAGACAAGCAAAAGAAGAATATAAAGTGGACTTAATCAAAACTTAAAACATTTATGCTTCAAATGATTCCATAAGAAAGTAAAAACATAATCCATAGGATCAGAGAATTTATGGGTCATATATAGAGTAAAGATCTTGTATTTGGCCTGGTGCTGTTGGCTCATACCTGTAATCCTAGCTACTCACAAGGCTGCGATTTGAGGATTGCCATTTGAAACCAGCCCAGGCAGGAAAATCTTACCCTCAATTAATCACCCAAAACTTGGAAGTGGAACTGTGGGTCAAGTGGTAGAGTGCTAGCCTTGAGCACAAAAGCTCAATGATAGTGCCCAGGCTCTGAGTTCAAGCCACAGAACTCTCTCTCTCTCTCTCTCTCACATACACACACATGCACCCTCATCTGGTATTTGAGCCAGATTACACCTGTAATCCCAGATATTATAAGGAAAAGGCAGGAGGATGAGAAGCACAAAGGCAACCAGGGAACAGTTAACATGACCTGTATTTTTACAACTAGAAATAGCTGAGAAAAAAAGAAAACTGGATTCATCAGAAAATCGATGTCACCGAGCAAACTGTTACCCAAAATGTGGTGACAGATGAACACAGCTCTGGGTGGGTCACTGGTATCAGAAGCTACTGGTATCAGAAGAACTGGGAGGGAGGACAATTTCAAGGAAAACTTTAACAAATCTCTCATGCCAGCATGAGAGTAACATGTTTGGTGGTGGCCTCAAGGAGGCTCCACACTTTATCCCAGCTCCAGAGACTGTCAGGGCCAAGGTCCAACCTTGGAGGTTCCTGCAATTTGTTTTAAGAACGGGACAACTTCTAAACTCTGGTTCCATGTTGGCACGGAAAGGATGTCTCCCCAGACTTTCTTTTCCATCTGGTCTTAGCTAAATAACTTTGACTAATTGGTTAGTTTTTAAAAAATATTTTCATTACCACTTTATAATGTCTATCATGATCCTTTGTGATCTGGTAATGCCTGAATTACCCTGTCAGGCATCACCAGAGGTGGAAATCTAGTCTCTGAGGTTAAAAAAAATTAGAAGAAATTCCAAGTATCTTTTTTTTTTGTGTGGGGAGGGAGGGGAAACATTTTTCTATTTGCAATGTCAGAAGATTTCAGGAGTTAAACCAAACCAAAAAAAGAAAGGTCATTTTATTGATCCATTCATGTGCTAGTGGGTTTTTTTGTTTTTGCCATGTTTCTGTTCTTGAAAGGTAAGATCACTGTCAAAAACAGAGACAAAAATATTTGGTTCAATTCTGCTTTATTCATAGATAGAATAGTGTCTGTGCCATCTGGCTGACTGTCAAAGGGAAGATACCTCACCTGTCGACTTTTCATGCCCTAAAGTTCTCATACGTGAGCTTCTTTTACCAGAGTCTAGCATAATGCTGTGTGATTGGGTCAGGATGTTTTCCAGCCTTATCCACATTTCTCTTAGCTAATATTCCATTCCTTAGAGCCATCCTGTGACACTGAAAGAAATGCAATTTTACTAACACTTCCTCTGAATACATCATTTCTCTTAGAGGAAAATTTTCCTTTAGAGAGCTTTGGTGTACTTAATGCTGCCAGTGAACTATTAGACCTCATTGTATTTTTTTTTAATTCATTAGAGAAGTTTAAGTAGTGTTAATTTAGTTCTTTCAGTATTGGGACATTCCTTTTAGGATTTTAAAGCAAACTAATTCAAAAGTTGGTAGAGAGTTTATGACTTGACAAAATAATTTCTGCTTTTCTCTTTAAAAAGGCCTTCTGAAGTGATTCTTTATAGAGGGTTTCAAATTTACTGTATTTATCATTAGACAGGAAACATTGCCACCGATTTTTAAATGGAATCTTATTAAAATAGGAAGTGATATACAATTTCTCCTGGTTTTCTCATTTTAATTTGACTTTTTGAGGTTGAATAGAGAAAGGGTTAAACACAGAAGTCTGGAGATGCATTGCATGGTGTCAGAACTCACTCTAACTTCCTGATCAGCTCTGGGAAAGTTTCTCAATTTGGTTGCCACATCGGTATGATGCATAAATAGCTATAATTGCTTCATAGGGTTGTTAGAAGAATTGAGAGTTAATATTTATGAAATGACTTAGGGTAGTGCCTTGTACATGCTCTTAGCTATACAAAAGATTAGTTTGAATTGATGTCCCTAGGAATCCAGAAAATGGAATTTTAAACCATAGGAATCAAGAAAATGGAATTTTAAACCAAGGACTATTGGGCTCCCCAACTTGAGTGTTTTTTCCCCTGCAGTGCTGCTCTTAATGCTTTGTCATTTCAAATCAGCTCACTTCTATTCACATACTCACCCAACTAAGCACACTCTGGAATGAGCTCCTGTGTCCTATGAGCACACACTGGGGGGTTAAGTAATGGCTGTTTGGCAACATGTAGCATGTGGAGGAGAACAGGAATAAGGGAAACCTTTTCTCCTGCTAGGCTGGGTGACAGATGCCTCAAAAACATCTCTGTAGCAGAAGAGAATGAGGATGAGGTGGGAGCTGCAGGTACTCGAGCCCTTAGATGTTGCTTCATCAGCGTTCAGCCTTAGCACTGAGTGAATATTCAAAAGCATAGAAAACAAAGACCAGAACCATGTCCCTCCCAAGCACAAGCCAGACCATGCCTAACTGATAAAACCTGTTAAGAGTAATATCATCACAGGCCTGTCTAATGACCCCAAAGTTAGAGCCCAAGCTGTGGTCAGTTTCCTTGTCGAAGCAGTATTGCTTTTGGGTAGCCAGGGCAGGTAACTAGGATGGTCAGCAGACCATCTGAGCACCATAGACAGGGTGGCTTTGATGATGAATCTTCAGTGACTATGGAAGGGTACTGAAGAGAGTTAAAAATGACTCTGTATCTATCCACTACTGTACACAGGAAGATGCCCGACTCCATGCACATGAAAGAGTGGATGGCATAGATCTGAGCGAAACACTCAGGGAAGCAGATGGCCTTTGCATCAAGCCATAGATGGCCAGGATCTGGGGCATGCTTGTGGTTTCCGGGCCAATGTCCACCACAATGCGGACATTAAGTTACCTATACATGTGCTGGTACAAGCTAGGCTTATGGAGGGTGGTGATTAACATAAGGACATTAGCAAAAATGGAGGGCCAAAGGGTGGACAAATGCAGCAGTGGTACTCAATAGACACTATATTGAACGTGAACTACACAACTTGTGGGTGAGGACAGGAGAGAGAGTGAGGGAAGGGGTGGCATTGTCTAAAAAGACATCACCTGACTTGTGAAACTGTAACCCCTCTATACATCACTTTTATAATAACAATAAAATGTACACATTAATAAAAGAACACTAGCAACAAGAGGTGAGAGACAGAGCAGAGCCATAGGAAGGAGATTGCTGCCGCGCATGCATGCCTGGGAAGCTCATGAGGATGAGATTCAGAGCTGCTGGGGAGATATCCATGTCATGGGGTGTGTTGTGCTCAGCATCTTCCTGCAAGCTAAGCAGAAACAGAATAAATCTATGGCTAGCTCTGCTGAGGAGAGTCGAGGAAGTCCTACAATAACTTGGTCTTTTTTCCCCATCATAATGCATTCTTTTTAAAAAAATGCTACTTTAATTTTATTGCAAAGATACTATACAGAGGGGCTACAGGTACATTTGTAAGGTGAGTACATTTCTGTCCAGCATTGTTACCCCCTCCTTTGTTTTTCTCCTATTATCCCTTCCCTCCCCCATGTCTCCCACTACCTTCCCCACCCCACAAAGTTATAAAGTTCATTTCCAACATAGTGTCTTGTGAGTCTCATTGTTGCAATGGGTCATCCTGTGTCCTTGTTTCAGCATTTTGTTATTCCCCTTACCCTCCCGAAAATTAGAGAGATCTATAAAAGATGGTAAAATACAGTGACAATAGGGGGACTAAGTACATGTGACCATATAAGATGATGCTAAGCAAAATGAACCCCAAGATATGGACACAAGAGGTTTTTCTTTGTAGTGGTTGTTTTTAATGTGCTATGTGATTTTTTTTGTTTCTTTTGTATGTTCTTTCCTGTATGGTATATCTCCTGTTGTCATAATACATTCTTGATCTTGATACTACCAGAAAAGTTCAGATATAAAACAGAACAACCAAAATAAATTCTAAGATAAAGATTTGAATAGAATAAAACCCGAAGAAGTATTTATTTTTATTTTCCTGAAATTCTGAGTGAATTTTTTTTAAATATAGAGAACATGGACACAAAGAAGGAGGCATGTAAGCTAGAAACAACACTCTTATAGATGGTAAAATTAGATCTTTAGAAAGAAAATACATAGCCATAATGAAAATCCTGCCAATGTTTTTGTTCCAGATAGTGTTTTGTGGTTGGCATATGGATTCTTTCCTTCCTTCCTTCCTTCCTTCCTTCCTTCCTTCCTTCCTTCCTTCCTTCCTTCCTTCCTTCCTTCCTTGTCTCTCTCTCTCTTTTTTGGGTCCGGTTGTGGGGCCTGAACTCTGGGCCTGGGCGCTGTCCCTCAGCTCTTCAGCTCAAGGCTAGTGCTCCACCACTTGAGCCACAGTGCCACTTCCAGCTTTTTCTGTGATTTAATGGGAGATAAGAGTGTCACTGACTTTCCTGCCCTGGCTGGCTTTCTACTGCAATCCTCAAATCTCAGCCTCCTGAGTAGTTTAGGATTACATGTGTGAGCCATCTGCACTGGGCTGGCATATGGATTCTTGTATTCATACCTCCTTTAACCCGCACCTCCATTCAGATATTCTTTTCATGTAAGGAAACAGAGTGGAATGACTTGCCTAGCTAAGAACTATATACTAAAAGCACTAATAGCTGACTAAGCAGCAAAAACTTAAATCTTTTACATTTAATGCCAGCTTTCCTTTATCCAATTATAGTCAATATGTCAGTACCCTTTAGCACAATCATTTGTTTTCTCCACTAATTATGATAGTAATGTCAAGTGAACTCAGAGAACATTATGTTAATTGAAATATGCCAGACACAGACAGTATCACTCATTTCATCAAATGATCTCACTCACTTGTGGGATCTAAAAATGTTAATCTCATAGAAGGAGAGAGTAGAACTGTGGTTTCCAGAGGCTGCCAGGGTAGAGCCTGGGCTGAGTGACACACAGTAGCTCATCAATGAGTACAGAGTTACAATTGAATACTAAGAGTAATTTCTGTTGTGCTATTACATAGTAGGGTAACTTAGTATTGCATATTTACAAATAGTGGAAAAAGAGAGCATTTTTGAATGTCCTTATCGCAGAGATATGACTGATATTTGAGATGACAGACATGCTGATTACCCTGCTTTGAACAATATATAATGTATACTGGTATTGAAACACACATTGTAACTCCATAAACATGTAAAATTATTACATGTTAAACATAACTTAAAACAAAATAGTACAAAAAGTTACCAGTGCAATGTAGATGGTAGGTATATGAATGTTTACTTTAAATGCATTGTAATTTATATTTACAAATTTTCATGTTGCAAAAAATTAATCAATGCAAATTAAAAAGTGGTATTATTAATAATTATTTTCATTGTAAAAGATATAAGGGGAAAAGATTATTAGCAAATTTCTAACTACTTGGAAATTTCTATATGAATCATTTGGAAATGAAATAGGCATTTTTGCATGTATTTCGATATTTTGGTTAAAGTCATTTCATGACTGTTTCTTGTCCTTTTGACATCTAATCTTCTTTATACCTTTTTTTTTTTTTTTTTTTTTGGTACCAGCTCTGGAGCTTGAACTCAGGGACTGGGTATTGTCTTTGAGCTTTGAGAACTGCATTGTGTAGGCTCCTCCTCCTCCTCCTCCTTCTGTTTTCTGAACTTCAAGAGCTTACACAAGGGGATTACAATATCCATCTCAGTGTTTAGACCTTCTTGATCAGAGTCACTCCTTCCATCATTCTGCCTATCCCCTCCTCCTCCTCCTCCTCCTCCTCTTCTTCTTCTTCTTCTCTTTGTGGGTCATGTGGCTTGAATTCTGGGCCTGGGTGCTGTCCCTGCACTCCTCAGCTCTAGGCGAGCACTCTACTGCTTGAGCCACAGCGCCACTTCTGGTTTTCTAGTGGTTTATTGGAGATAAGAGTCTCACAGACTTTTCTGCCCAGGATGTCTTTGAACCATGATCCTCAGATCTCAGCCTCCAGAGTAGCTAGGATTACAGGCTTAAGCCACTGGTGCCCAGCCAGATAATCTTTTTTGTTCTTGATGTTATTGATTTTTGAATTGTTAGAGAATATTTTTAAGCAACTGTATCAAAAGTGTACTTAAATATTATATTTAGTGTTACTTAACTGAGCTTTTACTTTATTACTTTTATTTATGAATATCTTTTCCCATCAAATATTTAGGTATTGGGTTGGGAATCTAGTTCTGTGCTAGGTTGCTTGTCTAGTTTTTGAGTTCAATTTCCAGCACTACAGAAACAAAACAGAACTAAATAAGCAATAGGTATTAGGATCTTTCACATCCAATATCCAAGTAAGGTATATTTATAGAATATTATTGTTTATCTCCCATTGGACCAGTTTTCACTTTCCTGTGAGTTTTTAATTTATTAACAAGGAATTAACTTTTCTACTAGTAAGAGATATGTAAATAAACAGATTCAAATAACTATAAACAATGCATTCTACATTTCTCACCGAGGGATTGCTATACCTCCTTTGTCATATAGAGAATATTCCATTTCTAAGAATATGCTATTGGTTATTTCTTTAATTTTTAAAACTTTATTATAAAGGTGATGTACAGAGGGATTACAGTTACATAAGTAAGGTAATGAGTACATTTCTTTACAAACAGCATTTTCCCCTCCTCCATTTTCTCCCACTCCCCCCCCACTTCCCTTCCCCCACGTTGCAAAGTTCATTTCCAACATAGTATCTTATGAGTATTACTGTTGGGTTGGTTCACCCTTTGTCCTTTGTCCTACCATTTCTATGATTCTCTTTCCCTTTCCCAAATCAGATAAACTTATATACAAGACAAAGGGTACTGAAATAAAAAAAACTGTGACAACAGGAAATAAACCAAAGAAAAAAATGATAGAAAATATAAATAACTGCAAACAGTACACTAAAAAAAAACCCCAACCTCTTGTCTCCATGTCTTGGAGTTCATTTCGATTAGCATCATTATCTATATCTATATCTATCTATGTATCTATATAGATATATGTTGATACATGTTCTAAGAATATACTGTTGGTTATTTCTTTTAGTGATTTTTGTGTCAGTAACAGTAACATTAATGCAAAGAAGACTATATTACCTATTATTTTGTTCAGTTTTAAACTCTTTCCATGCATATATTCTCCAAATTAACTTTAGAATTTTTGTGTTGAGTATAAAAGCATGATAGGTGAATTTTGTAAAAACAACTGACATCTTTATATCATATCTAATAATTCACAAATATGAATCCTTTCTACATTTACTTGGAGCCTAACAAAAGTCATTAAAATTATTCTCCACTATGCTGTTCTTACTATGATGATCAGTATTTTGATATGCCTTAGTGAATCAGATTGTTTCTTTGCATTATGCATTTTAACATACATTTCTGGCATATGGTAACACATTGAATTGATCTTGAATCGTTTCTTTTCTATTCAAACACTTTAACTACTTTGTACTTCTTTTAATTAAAAATTTGGTCCTCCTGTGATTTTTTTTAATGTTTTTCCTGTTAGTACTAAGCATTAAGTCTAGGACATTGTGCTTGCTTGGTAAGCACTTTGCCACTGAACTATATCCCAGTCCTCCTGTATTTTTTGTTTTGTATCCTATCAATCAACTAACTGTTGCTGGTAAAGTAAATGCCTTGCATTTATTATTACTATTATTGTTGCTCTTTTTTGAAATATTCTTGCTATGTAGTCCAAGGTGACCTTGAACTAGAGGTTTTCCTGCTTTAATCTAATGCTGAAGAATTACAGGCATAGTTTATCATCCAGCTGTATTTATTATTTTGTGTGTAGTAATGATATGTTTTGCTATTTTATCCACCTTGCTACTTCAATTCCTAAAATTTTATCATAGATATTTTTTTTGTAAAATTTCCTAGTTAGACCAGAAAGTTGCTTATATAAGAAATAT